CTTGACTTTCCAGGCCATTTTGGAACAGTTTCATAATGAACAGTTTTTGTTTTCATTGTGTTGATGTTGTTCTTTGTTTGTTTTTAATGTGTATGGATGTTTGGGCTGCATGGATGTTTGAGCACCAAGTGCATGCAATGTGTCCACAGAGGCCAGAAGAGGACCTGGAGTTAGAGATGGTTGTTAACCTATATTTATTTAGGTGCTGGTGACTAAACATGGAATCTCAGGTGGGCATGGTGATGAACACCTTTTTTTTTTTTTTTTTGATTTTTTAAAAAATATTTATTTATTTATTATGTACACAGAAGAGGGCACCAGATCTCATTACAGACGGTTGTGAGCCACCATCTGGGTGCTAGGAATTGAACTCAGGACCTCTGGAAGAACAGTGAGTGCTCTTAACCTCTGAGCCATCGCTCCAGCCCTGATTTTTTTTTTTTTTAAGATTTATTTATTTATTATGTATACAGTGTTTTGTCTGCATATACACTTGCAGGTCAGAAGAGGGCACCAGATCTCATTACAGATGGTTGTGAGCCACCATGTGGTAGCTGGGAATTGAACTCAGGTCCTCTGGAAGAGCAGCCAGTGCTCTTAACCTCTGAGCCATTTCTCCAGTCCCCCTTTTTTTATTTTTTTTGAGACAGATATTTTCTGTGTTGCCCTGGCTGTCCTGTAACTCACTTTGTAGACCAGGCTCTGCCTCACGAGTGCTGGAATTAAAGGCATGGGACACCACCACCTGGCTATGACGAACACCTTTAATCCCAGTTTTTTAATTAGCATTCCTCTATTTGATTTGTTCATATGGTCTTATAACTACTATTGAAGTTATGTTCAGAACTGAAAGACTTTGGCAACACATCAAACACATCACAAACCTAAAGACAGCTGTTGTACATTTAACCTCAGCATCCAGTTCTGCTTTTGGATTGCACATAATCAATAACTACAGAAAATAAGTAAATATCTTAGCCAGCCTTAGCTCTGTCTACATCTTAAACGTGGGCAACACCTGAAAACTATTGGTAACACAGTTGCACGTGACTGTGACAAGTATGTCTGAACCACAGAAGCTGACATTTGAGTGAGGCCTGGGCAGCATGGTTCCTGACTTTTCTTGTCTCCCTGAAACACTGCACTCCTTTGATGACTTACTTCCTGGTCCAAATAATTATTAGTGACACACTGGGGAGACATTCAGTAGGGACACATGACAGACAAAGAGTTTATTCTGAAGACTGTGGTAAGTAAGAGCCCAGGGCGGAGCCTTGGGTATCAGTCACTGCAGTGAGTTCCACTAACAGGTTCTGATCATTGAATGTCGGTCACTGCAGTGAGTTCCCATCATGTTACCATCATGGTAATGTCTTGATCTCCTGAGGCAGGTGGAATACCTGTCTGGAGAAGGACTGCTTCCTGCTTCTCTGTGTCTCCTTATCCTGTATCAGTGTGAGTAGCTGTGACAAGCCTGGGGCTGGGCTACCTTGTGGCAGTCCAATCTGTGAACTGTTTATTTAGACAGGTGGAGAGTGGAGCTCAGTTGATTTGGTGCTATCTATGAGCATGAGGTCCTGAGTTTTAACCCCAGCAATGCAAAAAATAAAAAACAAACACCGTACTAAAGCTGGGAATGAAGGCAATGCCTGTAATTTCAACACTGTGGAGTCTGAGGCAGAAGGATCACTTTGAATTCTAGGCCAGCCTAATCAACTTACTATGACCTGTCTCAAAATAAAAAGTAAAAAAAAAGCTAGGTGGTGGTGGTGCACACCTTTAACCCCAGCACTTGGGAGGCAGAGGCAGGTGGATCTCAGTGAATTCAAGACCAGAATGGTCTATAGTGCAAGTTCAAGTTCCAGGACAACCAGGGCTGTACAGAGAAACCCTGTCTCAATAAACAAACAAATAAATAAATAAATAAAAATTGTACCTATCTCAGGGATAGAACCCTGAGCTAGCATCTGAGAGGTTCTGGGTTCAGTCCCTAGAACTGTAAGAACAAGGAAACACAAATTTCCAGTGTTTTAAAGAGGAGAATCCCATGATGACTCTGCTGGAGTGTACGGGATTGATGAGATGGGTAGGCAAGCTGTTCCAGGCTGGACATAATGACACCTGTGTCAAAGGATTAGCAGTGGCATTAGAGGCAGGGAGGACAACTGGTGTTAAAAAGGTCTGTCTGGCAGGATTTGACAACTGCGCAGGAACTGAGGGGAACTCCAGCAGAAGGGCCGGGTGTGTGGTTTTGTCACAGAGTGCCCATCTACCATGCATAAGGGACTAGGTTTAATCTCCACTAGTCAAAAAAAAAAAAAAAAAATCAAGAAAGGGGACGAGATAAAAGCAGTTGCCACCCCACCCCAAAAGCAGGAAGGAGAGGAAGAGGTCTGTTTAGTGCAGTGCCCAGGTCCCATCCAGTGTGCCAGGTGACACCAGTGACAAGGATGGAGAGTATGGGGGACAAGAGACAAGAGGGTAGCTTTTTTTTTTTTTAATTACTTATTTTTATTTTATCAGTGTTTTGCCTGTATATATGTCTGTGTGAGGGTGTTGGATTCTGGAGTTACAGAAAGTTGTGAGCTGCCATGTGGGTGCTGAAAATTGAACCCGGGTCCTCTGGAGGAGCAGTCAGTGCTCTTAACCGCTGAGCCATCTCTCCAGCCCAGAGTACAGCTTTTGTATTGTTTGGTTTTGTTTGAGACAGTCTCCTGTGTGTTCTAGGTTGACTTAGAACTCCTGGCCCTCCTGCCTCTACCTCCCAAGAGCTGGGATTGCAGGTGTGTGACACTACACCCAGCTCAGGAATAAAAGTGCATGGTGATTATTGCAAGCATAATGAGTGCAGCCACGCTCTTTGAGATAAAAATGTCCCAGTGTGCTTGCTTGTTCACTTAGCAGTTAGCTGCATTGTGGCGTGAAGTTCAGAGGGAAGGTCTGCACCCCAGGTGTCACCACGGGGTGGACCCGCACACATGCAGAGAAGAGTGTGCAGGCCATGCTTTCAGATAACAAGGTGGAAGGATTAATTTGGTGGGATTTGCTCCGCCCATGACCTTGGGCTATAGGGCCAGAAAGAGGCGGTGCTTCTTGCCCTTGTGACCTCTTAAAAGGAAATGGAAAAGGGTCACATGCCTCTTTTTCCGGTTGCCTGCGAGGTGGATTTGCTCCCGGTCAGATCAGAGGATGACTTCAGCTGTCTGTATTGGTGAGTGTATTTCCTCAATTTATGTCTTAATAAATCCCTATTACCCATTAAAAAAGAGGAGAGGAGACATGGCTCAGTGGTTAAGAGCATTGACTAATGTTCCAGAGGAACAGGGTTCAATTCCCAGGTCGTCTGTCAGTCCGGAGTACAATCACGCCAGGATAATAAATAAATAAAAGGAAGGGACCATGTGACCCCTCTCCCTTTCCTTTAAGAGGTCACGGATGGCGAAGCACCACCTCCTCCTTCCGGACCTATAGCCCAAGGTCATGGGCGGAGCAAATACCACTACAACTTTAGGCTGATTACAGAAATGGAAGGAAGGACACTTGGGTGTCCTGTTAGGTTATCTGAGGTGTTAGGTTACCTGAGCCCGTGAATGTACCTTGAGGAAGATCTGCTTTACCTAACCTACCCCATCCAAGTCCCGAATAAGCCCCGTCCTGACTAGCTGCTGAGAGCCGATGGCATTGGGTGTGTTCAAGTGGTGTTTGCATAGTCTCCTGTCTGGCGGAGCCTCTAGTGATTGCTGGTTACCTGGGCCACTTCCATGTTTGTTTGTTTCTGTATACTTGGTTATGTCAATAATTTAGTTCTGATGCCCTGAAAGGCTAAAACATAAAGGCTAAAAAATAAAACAAGCTAAAATGTCCAGATTTCAGCAAGGGTCATTGTGTCCGGGTCATCAGCTGCTTCCTGTCTTGTACTGTCTGCAGCTCTACTTTTGACAGATGAGTTTTATGAAAAAGTCTATCTTGTCCTTAGAGCAGCACTCCTGTATCTTGAACATTTAAAGCAGTGGTTCTCAACATGTGGGTCATGACCCCTTTGAGAGTTGAATGGCCCTTTCATAGGGGTCCCCTGAGAGCATCAGAAAACACAGATATTTACGTTACAATTCACAACAGTAGCAAAATTAGTTATACAATAGCAATGAAAATAATTTCATACCAGATGGTGGCACACACCTTTAATCCCAGCACTCGGGAGGCAGAGGCAGGTGGATCTCTGTGAGTTTGAGGCCAGCCTAGGCTACCAAGTGAGTTCCAGGAAAGGTGCAAAGCTACACAGGGAAACCCTGTCTCGAAAAACCAAAAAAAAAAAAAAAAAAAAAAAAAAAAGAGAGAGAGAGAGAGAGAGAAGTAAAAGCATGAGGAATTCTATTAAAGGGTAGCAGCATTAGGAAGGTGGAAAAGCAGTGATTTAAAGTTAATGAGGAAGGGGCTAGAGAGCTGACTCAGTAAAGAGAGCATGTTGCCCTTTATAGGACCCAAGTTCAGTTCCCAGTACTCACATCAGGCAGCTCACAGCCACTTGTAACTCCAGCTCCATGGGTTCTGACACCCACTTCTGTTCTTCTAGGCACATACATACATACATGCATGCACGTTCTCACACACAAGCGTGTGTGTGTGTGTGTGTGTGTGTGTGTGTGTGTGTGTGTGTGTGTGTGTAAGCACACGGTTTTGTACATATAAGTAACAAATCTTTAAAGTTATTACGGAAAATGTCTGTAATCAGCAGCAAGGGGAGTATACATAGCAAATATTAATTTACTTGGGGTGAAGTGAGTTGTTTTCATTTTCCTGGCATTAACTGCTAAGCAGTTCTGGGCCTCTTGGAGTTTAAGTACAGTGGGAAACTTGTCAAAGTACTATGGTAGTGTTGTAAAGTATACATATTTACTCGTTTTGGGATAGATTAACACAAACGTCTGAACTCTGTGCTGTGAGTGTTAATGTTTCCATGACCTATGTAGCTTGTTTATCGATGGACATTCTTACAACAGGATTTATGATGCTGGCTCGGAGAACAACGCAGCAGTGGTAGCTGTAGAAACCCACACGATACACAAAATTGAAGAAGGAATTGGTAAGTCTTTCTGCTGTTCTATCCAGAACCTTTGACTTCAGCTTGGTGGTTGTGAGTTTCTGTATATTTTTGCTTTTAAGTTTCTGGGGATGAAACCTGGGATCTTGTCCAAGCCAGGCTGGTGCTCCACTACTGAGCTGTGCCCCCAGCCTGTGATTTCTGGCCTTTTATGTCTTATTTTGTGTCCCCACCAATGCAGTGTGCCTACTGATACTGCCAATTAACATGGCAGACTTGCCAGGCATGGTGGTGAGTGCCTTTAATCCTGGCACACAGGAGGCAGAGGCAGACAGATCTCTAAGTTCCAGGTTCCTGGACAGCCAGGACTACATAGAAAAACTGTCTCAAAAAACTAACCAACCAACCAACAAGATGGCAGACCTGTCACTTGATCACCTAATATCAATATGTTGCAAGAGCCAAAAAAAGTTTTTGTCTATAAAAATCCTATAAAGAGGTGTGGGGTAAAATATTTAGCTTGAGTCTCTATGTGGGATCCCTAAACGCCATTGGGGTGAGGGGTTGAAAACAAAACAAAACAAAAAGATCCATGGGGCCTGTGATGTTAATCTGTAAATCTAGCTACTTGGGAAGCTGAGGCAAAAGAATCACAGGTTTAGCCGGGCAGTGGTGGTGCACACCTTTAATCCCAGCACTGGGGAGGCAACAACGGGCGGATCTATGTGAGTTCGAGGCCAGCCTGGGCTATAGAGTTAGTTCCAGGAAAGGCGCAAAGCTACACAGAGTAACCCTGTCTTGAAAAACCAAAAAAAAAAAAAAAAAAAAAAAAAAAGAATCACAGATTTAGGGCGCCAATCTGCACTACAGAGCATGTTCAAGGCCAGAAGATTAGGTATATAAATTCAGTAGTAAAGTGCTTGCCTAGCATGTGCAAAGACCTAGATTCAATCCATAGCCATCCCCACCTCCACCCCCTCATCACACTGGGCATGGTGAGGTGGACCTGTAATCCCAACATTGGGAGGCTGAGACAGGAAGATTATGTTTGAGGTTGGGCTGTATAGCAAAACCTTGCCTTAAAAAAGTAATCCCACAATGCAAAGGGAGCTTTTAGATGGATCCCTGTCATTAGGGGAGGCTGCAGGTGAAGACTGAAGAGGCATTGTATTGACTGGGAAATTGTCAATGAAAGAAAACTTAGAATCTGAGCAAATCTGACTTTTTTACATTTTCTCACTCAGTATTCTTGAGAAACTCACTTCTCGGCTGTAGAGATGGCTCAGAGGTTAAGAGCACTGGCTTCTTTTCCAGAGATCCTGAGTTCAATTCCCAGCAACCACATGGTGGCTCACAACCATCTGTAATGTGATCTGGTGCCCTCTTCTGGCGGGCAGACAGAACACTATGTACATAATAAAGAAATAAATCTTTAGTCAGGAGATGGTGGCTCATGCCTTTAATCCCGGCACTTGGGAGGCAGAGCTAGGTGGATCTCTGTGAGTTTGAGGCCAGCCTGGTCTACAGAGCGAGATCCAGGACAGGTGCCAAAATTACACAGAGAAACCCTGTCTTGAAAAACAACAACAACAAAAAGAGAAACTCACTTCTCTTTTGAAGCCCATGTATTTATATGTAAAACACAGGAAGTAATTACTATCTCACAAGATTATAATAAGAACTAAAATGCTGGGTGTTTTTTCTCATGCTTATAATCTTGACACTTTGGAATTAGCAAGATCCGGAGTTCAGGGGCTGGAAAAGGCTTAGTTGGTTCCTCAGGACCCAGTTTCAATTTCCAGCAACCATATGACAGCTCTGTCTGTAACTCCAGTTCCAAGGCTTCTGACACCCTCGCACAGACACACATGCAGGCAAAACACCAATGCACATAAAGTAAAAATAAATAAACAAATAAAAAGAACAGGACTTCAAAGCCATCCTTGGCTACATAAGTTCATGGCAGTTTGAAACTGTCTCAAAAAACAACCAAACAAAAGAATTACAGTAGCACACGCAAAGGTTTATGGTAGGGTTGGCCATGTAGCTCAGCAGTACAACACTTAACTAGCTTGCATAATGCCCTGGGTTTTTCCTCAACAACATGCAAAACAAACAAATCTGAGGGCTGGCTCAGTCATTAAAATGGCTGGCCGTATATGTAGGCAGAACTGCAACCTGAGTTCAGTCTCCAGAACCCACATAAAGATGGAAGGAGAGGACACTCTCCAGAGTTGGCCATCTCCACAGTGTGATGCGCATGCCCTCCCCAGTAAGAATAAATAATTTTTTTTCCAAGATAGGATTTCTCTATGTTAGTTTTGGTGACTGTTCTGGATCTCGCTTTGTAGACCAGACTGGCTTTGAATTCACAGATACGCCTGGCTCTGCCTCCTGAGTGCTGGGATTAAAAGCGTGCACCACCACCACCCAGCAAATAATATTTTTAAATTAAAAAATATATATAGAGAATATGTCATAGTGTCTTTTTTTGTTTTGTTTTTGTTTTTCGAGACAGGGTTTCTCTGTGTAGTTTTGGTGCCTGTCCTGCATCTTGCTCTGTAGACCAGGCTGGCCTCGAACTCACAGAGTTCTGCCTGGCTCTGCCTTGAGACTGTTGGCAGGCACTAAAGGCATGCGCCACCCCTGCCCGGCTGTGTCATAGTGTCTTAGCACATTGGTGCCTTAGTAAGACATAGCTGTTATGTCGAACTTCAAAAGTCTTCCTGGGGCCGGAGAGATTATAAGTGTTAAGAGCACTTGCTGCAAGGACCTGGCTTAGATTCGAGCTCACAGGACAACTCACAGCCATCATGACTCCAGTCCCAGGGGAGTCAGTGCTTTCTTCTGGTCTCTGCAGGCATCAGGCAAACAATTGGTGGACAGACTTGCATGCAGGCCCAACACCCATGCAATTTTTATTTTTATTTTTTAAAGAGTACCTTGTTAGTGGTGGGAATATAGCCCAGTTGGTAGAGTGCAAGGATCAGTTATCCGAGGTCATCATTGCTGTACACTGAGTTCAAGGCCAGCCTGAGCTACATGAGACCCTATCTAAAAAAAAAAAAAAAAAAAAAAAAAAAAGATGGCCTGAAAGGAACTGGAAACTGTACATGTGGAATTTAAGTTTAGGGAAGAATTGTTCTGTAAACAGTGGATTTTTTTTTTTCCATTTTCAGATGCAGGTAGTATAGAAGCGAACGAGGACATGGAGATTGCGTACCCTATAACCTGTGGAGAGAGCAAAGCCATCCTCCTCTGGAAGAAGTTTGTGTGTCCAGGAATAAATGTCAAGTGCGTCAAGGTGATTGTCTCCTTTTGAGGTTTTGTTTCAGTGACGTCTCTCTGTCTTTCACCAGATCAGCTTCTGCAGGGAAATGGAGGGCTCTGATCTAGGGTCTGGAACATGCTGGGCAAGTGCTGTTTGTTTAGTTATTTTGCGTGGCGCCCATGCGCAGGGCAAAGGGGGTTTGCAGCAGTCTCTTCTCTCCTTTCCCCATGTGGATTCATCAGAGGCTTGAACCCTGCTTGTCAGGCTTGGCAGCTGCCGCTCCTGCATGGTTTGGGTCCTGGAACCCTGGCTTGGGCCATCAAGGGGATGAAGAAAGACAACCATGTACAGTAAAGCTGGGGTCAGGTGGGATTCTCTTAACTGCTACCTGGAACCTCAGCGTATTGAAGGTTAGGTAGTCTTGGTATAGTAGGTCTCTGTAGGTGTAAACATCTGGGAGGAGGAAGCTGCAGTTGTTAGTCTGGGCTCACACTGATCAATTATTCATTCATAAGCACTTGTACTTGTAAGCCTGGGCCACGTGGGTGAAAGGTTTTGCCAGTTGCCCCTGGTCTGAGGCTTTGGGCTTTCTTGGCATGGCTGCACCCATGTCAAAATATGTATCCTCAGCCGGCGGGCATAGTGGTGCACACCTTTAATCCCAGGACTTGAGAGGCAGAGGCGAGGCCAGCCTGGTCTACAGAGTGAGTTCCAGGACAGCCAGGGCTACATAGTGAGACCATGTCTTGAAACGACGACAGCAAAAATACCCATTCCTTCGGGACTTCACTCCCTCCCTCAGGGTTTGCCACTTCCTACAGGCAGCAAATACCTTCATCTGCTGAGCCGTCTCGATGTCCCCACAGCCTTGTTCTTACGGTGTCACAGCAGAAAACCTAAGGATTTTGAAATAAAATGGGTCTGCCCTAGTTCCACTGGAGCATGGGGTTTGTGCAAGCAGAGAGTATTGTCTGTTTCACCAAGATAAACCTAGTCCATATGATGCCTTGGTGGTGGTGGCAGGACCTTGTGCATGACAAAGGCCGACCCTGTGTGGTGCCTGATACATAATAGTGTTTGATAAGTGTTCAACACGTAAGTGAACGAATGGCCAGAACCCTTCTCTATCTCTGCCTAGCCATGTGATTTTGGGCAAGTTGTTTAATAATTAAAATTTCAGAGCCTTGATGGGCATTGTAGTGCACACCTTTAATCCCAGCAATCGGGAGGCAGAGGTAGGCAGAGGCAGGCAGATCTCTGAGTTCGAGGCCTGCATGGTCTACGAAGTGAGTTCCAGGACAGCTGGGGTTGCACAAAGAAACTTGAGCCTTATGTATTAAAATAGTAATCATTCTCATCAATATACACACAGCTATACAGCACATACACTGTGCTGTAGTAAACAAGATCATATATGTATCATGCCTTGAACTGATACGCATCAGAATTGTTGTCTATAAGAATAAGGAAGGTGTAATGCCTGTAATCCCAGCATGGAGGCACTAGGATTTAAGTTTGAGGCTAAGAGGTGATGGAGTGGGACCCTGTCTCAAAAAACCTAAAAGTTATGGTGGTGCACGCCTTTAATGACAGCACTTGGAGGCAAAGAGGCAGGTGGACCTCTGTGAGTTCAGGGCCAACCTGGTCTACACTCATGGAGTCCTAGATCAGCCAGGGCTGTATGGTGAAGCCCCGACCCCCAAAAAACAAAACAAACAAATCTCATGAGAGCCAGGCATGCTGCTACACACCCTTAATTCCATCACTTGGGAGGCAGAGGCAGGCAGATTGCTGTGAGTTCAAGGCCAGCCTGGTTCCAGGTTGGTCGGAGCTGCACAGTGAGACCCTGTCTCAAGAAAAAAAAAAAAAATTAAGCAAGAAAAATCTCCTCAGAGCATCTGTAAGTAGCTGTTCATTCTGCTTCCACTGGTGGCCACAGTGGTTCCTTTTTTTTTTTTTTAAAGATTTATTTATTATGTATACAGTGTTCTGCCTGCATGTACACCTGCATGGCAGAAGAGGGCGCCAGATCTCATTACAGATGGTTGTGAGCCACCATGTGGTTGCTGGGAATTGAACTCAGGACCTCTGGAAAAACAGCCAGTGCTCTTAACCGCTGAGCCATCTCTCCAGCCCCCACAGTGGTTCCTTTTGCCTCCTTTGGTGGCCACAGTGATGATCCGTGCACATTGTCATGTTGTCCTCACCATGGAGTTTAGTGGTACCAGCCTAGGCTAAGAAGGGCTGCAGAGTCTGAGGCTTTGCGGTGTTCTTGGTTTCTACTATATTTACTCTTTCTAACATCCTGAATCCCTAAAAAATAATGAGCTAGGTGGTTGGAGAAATGGCGCAATGTTAAAAGCACTGGCTGCTGTTCCAGAGGACCTGGGTTCAGTTTCCAGCACCTACATAGCAGCTCAGAACCAGTCTCTAACTCCAGTTTCAGGGGATCTGTCACCGTCTTCAGGCCTCTGTGGGCAGTGCATGTGTGTGGTGTACAGACACATATGTAGGCAAAACACCCATGCACATAAGATAAAAATCAATCTTTAAAAGGATCTTCAGTGTGGTGTGTGTGTGTGTGTGTGTGTGTGTGTGTGTGTGTGTGTGTGTGTGACTTCTGCTGCTGTAGTGAATATTCCAGGCTAACCAGTCTTCAGCTTCCCATCTCACAGTAAGAGTGCTGGAACTACAGATGCAGTTCATCTTTTTAAGTGATTTCTGGGATTGAAGTCAGTGTGTAGTCTTGTGCAATTAGCACTTTTACCTGTGAGTTATCTCCCTGGCCCATCCATCTTTAGCGCTACTTAGATTTCTTCAGTTTCTTGACCAGCCCCTGGAACACTAGACCCATCCCCCTGCTTCAGAATATAAGTGGATTTGTAGATACTATTTAGCATGTTTATTTCTTGTCCTCACTCACCCTCTGTAACTCTGTCCTAGGAAAGGACAGGTACTCAGAGGGGGAGAATGTTCGGTACCATAGGACGGGGTTGAGTGGCACTGATGTGGCTTATAGCATTGTCTGGGGTTTTGTGTAGAGCAAGTGGCGTTATTTCATTCTAAGTTCACACTGGCCCACTTTGGATTCTTCTTTTTTACTGTAGTTCAATGATCAATTGATCAGCCCCAAGCACTTTGTTCATCTGGCTGGAAAGTCCACTCTGAAGGACTGGAAGAGAGCCATCCGTCTAGGCGGCATCATGCTCAGGTGAGTGCTAGGACATCACATGCATCTCAATGCAGCACTTAGGGGAGAACCTTACACACCATTTGACCTTCATCGACTTTTCCATAACCTTTTTTTTTGCTTTGTGACATTAGGGTTGGAACCCAGGGCCTTGCACATGCTACATAAGCAGTCTACCACTGACTTATACCCCTGTAGCCTCTAACTATTAAATTAAACTAATTAACTTTTCCCAGCATCTACACTAGATTTCTCATTCTTTTTAGGTTTTTAAGTCTCATTTAGGTCCGTTTAGCCCAGAACTTGCTGTGTAGTCAAGGCTGACAGCAGCATGCTGGCTTAGGGTGCTGGTGTCAGGAGGTTGGACAGAATCTTCTTTTGACAGAGCAGCTCCGAGGAGCTGACTGTCCTCCCTGTCCTCCTCGCAGAGAGAGAGCAAAGCGAGGTGCTGAGTACGTGCACCAGCGGGACTGACAGCCTGGGGTAGCCTGTTCTAATAGAAGACCATGTTGAGAAAGAAAGACCAGGCGTAATGTTTGCCATTCGCCCTCCCGGTCTGCCAGACAGATGTCAGCGGATGGACTAGCCCTCGCCAGCAAGTTACCATTGTAGTTTTCCCCCTTGAATGCATTAGTTAGTCTCCCTTGAATGTTCACCTGCTGATAGAAAAAAATGTAAATGTAAAGCCCAGGGCTGGAGAGATGACTCAGATATTAAGAGTTCTGGCTGCTCTTCTAGGGGGCCTGGGTTCAGTTTCCAGCACCCACATGGCAGCTCTCAACTCTCTGTAACTCCAGTTCCAGGGGAATCCGACACCTTCTTCTAGCCTTCATGGGAACCAGATGTGCACATAGTAATAGACATACATGCAGGCAAAGCACCCATACACATAGAATTCTAAAAAACAAGTTTAAAGAATTTTCTTATTTGTTTTAATTTATGTGCATTGGTATTTTGCCATGGGTGTCGGGTCTCCTGGAATTGGAGTCACAGATAGCTGTGAGCTACCATATGGGTGGTGGGAATTGAACCCAGGTCCTCTGGAAGAGCAGCCAGTGCTCTTGACTACTGAGCCATCTCTCCAGCCCCCCTTAAAAACAAAAATTTTAAGGTCAAGAATTAGAAGTGTCCAGCCAGGTATGGTGGCACCTTTAATCTCGGCACATGGGAGGCAGAGGCAGGAAGATCTCAAGTTTAAGGTCAAGCGTAGAAACAACACACAGACAAGGAGCTGCTTCCATTGGGTACAATTTCTCAGGGGTAGAGACACATCCATAGTTGAAGGATTTGAGAGGAATGCCTTTCCTGTCCCTTCTGTTTTCTTCTTCTTTTTTTAAAGATTTATTTATTTCTTATGTATACAGTGTTCTGTCTGCACATATCCCTGCAGGCCAGAAGAGGGCACCAGCTCTCATTACAGATGGTTATGAGGCACCATGTGGTTGCTGGGAATTGAACTCAGGACCTTTGGAAGAACAAGCAGTGCTCTTATCCTCTGAGCCATCTCTTCAGCCCTGTTTGTTTGTTTTTGAGACAGGTTTTCTCTGTGTAGCAGTCCTGGCTGTCCTGGAACTCACTTTGTAGACCAGGCTGGCCTGGAACTCCCTGAGATCCACCTGCCTCTGCCTTCATTTCCTAAGTGCTGAGATTAAAGGTCTACGCCACTACTGCCCTGCCTCTAGGAAACTTCTACTTCTTCTTTTTTTTTCTTAAGGTTTATTTATTTATTTATTATGTATACTGTATTCTGCCTGCAAGTGTCCTTGCAGGCCAGAAGAGGGCACCAGATCTCATTATAGGTGGTTGTGAGCCATCATGTGGTTGCTGGGAATTGAACTCAGGACCTCTGGAAGAGCAGCCAGTGCTCTTAGCTGCTGAGTCATCTCTCTAGACCCATCTCTAGGAGACTTCTTGATTTTGTAAATTTTACTTACTTTTTGCTGTTCGATTGAACTGACAGCCTCCCACATGCTGGACAAGGAGTCTGTCGTTGTACCATGGCTTCTAGCAGCTAGACTCTAGTCCTTCACTGTTTTCCCTTCTCCTTCCTCCCCTCCCTTCATTCCTCTCTTGGCCTCTTTGTCTTCTGAAATGTTTTATCTCTAAAAGTGGCAATAAACTAGGCATTCTGGACCTGATACTAGCCAGGTGTGGTGGGTAGTGCCTGTCTCTTATCTCAGTTCTTTTTGTTTTGTTTTGTTTTGTTTTTTCCCAGACAGGGTTTCTCTGTGTAGTTTTGGTGCCTGTCCTGGATCTCTGTAGACCAGGCTGGCCTCAAACTCATAGAGATCCGCCTGCCTCTGCCTCCTGAGTGCTGGGACTAAAGGCGTGCACCACCACTGTCAGGCTTGTGTTTGTTTGTTTGTTTGTTTGTAAGACAGGGTTTCACTGTATAGCCCAGCATTGCCTGGAACTTGCTGTATAGACCAGGTTGACCTTGAACTCACTGGGCCTCTGCCTCTCAAGGGCCGGGACTTTGAGCTTTGGTTTTTAATGACATTCCTGACATTCTTAGTGTATCTAAAGCTTGGTGAAGAGTACTGATGCTGAGGAAACTCAGAAGAGAAGTGGTGGTCACTGTGGGCAGGACCGATGGACGTTTTATAATTCCAATTAGAATCTTCACAGTGCAGTGGCTTCAGATTTATTAGGCCCCGTTAATCTTGATCATGGACTCAGCAGATTGTTCCATCTGCCCCTTAGTTCCCATAGTTCCCATAGTTCCCATAGTTCCCATAGGTGAAACCCGGGCTCAACTGCTTCTTGTCTCTGGACAGGAAAATGATGGACTCTGGACAGATCGATTTTTACCAGCATGACAAAGTTTGCTCCAATACCTGCAGGAGCACCAAGTTCGACCTCCTCATCAGCAGCGCGAGAGCCCCCGTGCCAGGCCAGCAGACAAGTGTGGTGCAGACCCCCACCTCGGCCGATGGTAGGGGGTAGGACACCACCCGGAAAGCTACTGCCTACGCCAGCCCTTCCCTCCTCGCTCATCGGGTCTCCCTTAGGGTTTTGGTTTTGAGACCCTGTCTCACCATGTAGCCCAGGCAGGACTTGTACTTCCTGTGATTTTCTTGCTTCTGCCTCCCCAAACAAACAAACCACCATGCCTGAGTCCCTGGTATTTCTCTTTCCAGTACCTGTGAGCATGGATGTGCTTTTGTGCTGTGTTGTAAGGTATTACAGCAATCTCGGCTAGAGTCTAAGCCCTGGAAACAGATTCCTTTTTCCTCTTAAAATGACTCATTTTGTTTGGTTTGAGACTAGGTTTTTGTAGCCCAGGCTATCTAGAAACTCACTTTGTAGCCCAGGCTGACTTTAAATTCATGGCTGTTCTCCTCTCTCAACCTCTAGAATGTTGGGATTACAGGCTTAAATCACCTATGCCTAGCTTATTCTCTCTTCCTCTCTTTTTTTGGGGGGTGTTTTTAAAGACAGTGTTTCTCTGTGTCCCCCAGCAATCCTTTCTTTCTGCCTCCCAAGTGCTGGGATTAAAGGCATGTGCCACTATACTCAGCATGCCTGGCTATTTTAATTGATTCTATTTTGTTTGTTTGTTTTTTTCTGAGACAGGGTTTTTCTGTGTAGTTTTGGTACCTGTCCTGGATCTTGCTCTGTAGACCAGGCTGGCCTCAAACTCACAGAGATCAGCCTGGCTCTGCCTCGTGAGTGCTGGCAGGCACTAAAGGCATGCACCGCCGCCGCCACCGCCGCCTGGCTTTAATTGATTCTTGTTGGCCAACTCTCTTCCTTGTTTTTTCTTTTCTTTTTTCTTCTTCATCATCATCATCATCATCATCATCAATACTGCCTGTGCATGCTAGGCAGATTTTCTATCTCTAACTTAAATTTCCAGCATTCTTTGTTTGTCTTTGTTTTGATTTTTGAGACAGGGTTTCTCTGTGTAGTCCTGACTGTCCTGGAACTAGCTCTGTGGACCCAGCTGGCTTCAAACTCAGAGATCCGCCTGCCTCTGCCTCCCCAGTACTGGGATTAAAGGCGTGCGCCACCACCTGGCTTATTTCCAGCATTCTTCTTCCTTACAGTGCGTGCCAAGCATTAGAGAGATGTTCTGTACTTACAGGGCTTATTCAGTGCTCTCATTTTCCTGCCAGTCTCCAGGCGGGTCAAGGTTGAGTGGAGCCTTGGTAAGATTAGAAAGGTAGATTAGAATGACAAACATCTTCAAATGTTGAAGAGGCAGGTATCAGTGGCCGGGCTGAGCAGACCACTGCCTGAGTGAGCCCCAGCTTACCAACCTAGACTTCCTCACAGATGAGTAAATCGGGCCCACACTGACCCTCAGGCTTTGTTTGTTTACACGAGGCCTTCCTATAGAGCCCTGACTGGCCTGAATTTGCTATGTAGACCAGCTCAAACTTAGGGCCAACCTTCTGTTTTGTGTTGTTGCTGTTGTTTTGATTTGATTTGTTTTGAGACGTAGTCTGATCATGTAGTCCAAGCTGGCCTAGGACGCCTCCTGCATCCACCTCCTGAGTGCTGGGGTTCCAGGCCTGTGATACTATGCTCAACTGACTTTTAGTGCTTTTGAATTTGGGTCTGGGGCTCCTTCTTATCATCTAGGGGAGAGCGAGGAGGGAGGGAAAGAGAGGGATGAGAATATATATGAATATGAACTCTGGTGGATTTAGTCACGGCCTCTGGAGACACCACAGTTGTGTAAAATATGTCTCAGCTGCTACTATAAAGCCTTGGGTATGAGGGCACCAGGCTGGCCTTGGACTCACAACGACCTTTCTGCTTCAGCCTCCCAAGTGCTGGGATTATATATAATCCTGACCCACCTCACATGTCTTTGTGGGGTTAATTTTGGTTTAGTTTTTGGTGAACTCACAAATTCTGAGAGTAACCAATAGGAGAGTAAAAACCAAATCTCTCAGAGCCTAAGTGCTATTTCAGGAAAGTGTCTAGCGGAGAATTTTCATGCATTTGACTCTTTTGCTTAGAAAAGGAAGAATATTCCAAACTGATTGATTTTTATTCGTCAAACCTGACTTGATTGTCCATGCCCTACGATTTCCCTGGTTGCTGCTGTCCTCCGGTATATAGAGCTCACGTGTGTCTATATTGCTGTCTGAGCCACTTTGGTTTTTCTTAGTTCTTGTTCAGCTTTTTAGAGACAATTGAAAGGTAAAGTGTGTGAATGTGTGTGTTTTAAGATTTATTTGAATCGTGTGTGTATATGTGTGTCTGTGGTTTTTGTGCATGTGTATGGGTGTGTGTCTGTGTGGGTATGTGCATGTATATGTGGGTACCCATAGAAGACAACAGAGTTGGATCCCCTTAGAGCTGGAGTTACAGACAGTTGTGAACTGCCTGATATGGGTGCTGGGAACTGAAACACCAGTCCTCTGCAAGAGCAACATGTGCTCTTAACCACTGAGCCGTCTTTCCAGTTCCATGTCTGTGTCTATTATTCATGGATCTCTTATGTGATCTTTTTTTGTCTCTTGTTCTCTTGCTTTCTCATCTCAGGCTGGTTCATTAGCTCAGCTGGTTCATTAGCTCAGGCTGGTTCATTAGCTATGACAACTTCAGATATTCCAGATGCTTACTATCAAACATGTTTGTAGTAGGACTCATGACAAGTACACTGCTTTGAAATGATCCTAGGTCTTTCTCATCCTCAGGAAGTCTGCAGTGGGTGGCCTGACAGGCATACCTACCCTTAGTCACTTTCAAAAACATCTGCCTGCCTAGGAAGCAGACTGCTCTTGGAAGGTTTTGTTGTTCTTTTTTCTTTTTCTGTTCAGAGTAAAAAGAAAGCTTTTTCTTCGAAAGGCAAGTTTTCTTTAGAAAATTCTGTGTACATCCTGACTTACCTAGAGATCAGGATTTTAAAATATAGACACTAGGCAAGAGGCAGCATGCTAAAAATCACGTGGTCTTTCTGTCTTTGAGAGAGGATACTGACTTTTCCTCATAAAATTGATGGCTTTGTTTCTAACGGACCCTGCTTAGGTAACATCACACAGATTGCCATCTCAGAGGAGAGCATGGAAGAGGCTGGGCTGGAGTGGAATTCGGCTCTCACTGCCGCTGTCACCATGGCCACAGAGGAGGGCATCAAAAAAGAATCGGAAGAAATTTCAGGTACTTTCCTGTGTAGCCCCGCCCTCCCTGTAGCCCTGTCTTCCTGTTGGTGTAGGACCTCTTCTTATGTCTGCTCGTCTTCCGAATAGAGATGACTACTAACTATAGCTGGGATCACCTCCTTTTAAATTTCATTTTACACGTGGAGGGATTGAGATTTCAGGTGGCCCGAGACTGGTCATACAGTACTTGTCAGAGCTGAACTGTTTGCTTGTTGGACTCCATTGTCCGTGCTTTTCCTATTAGCAGCTGTCCCCATCTCTGGGTCATTTCTTAGGTAAATCAAACTTGGAGAAGTTAGAAGGAAAAATTAGGTAGCAGGTAGCATAAAGTGTATGACTATTAATTCCCTTATTGGGGACCAGGAAAAGCTTCATCACTTTCCCCTTCTTCTCATGGTTCATTTAATAAATCTCTGTTGCCTGTCTGACACTGTTGCTACTTGCTGGATACAGACATGAAGAGCCTTAGCTTCCACTAGGGAACCTGCAGGCCCTCCCCCCAGCTGTTTGGTTTAGTGTAGAACTAGAGGGAATATCTTTAATTAATATTTAGCTTAATATCTTTATTAGCTAACCTTTATAAAATTAAGTCTTATTTAATTGAAAGCAAAATTAAAATTGAATTATTCAAGTAATACTTAGTCTTAAATATTGAATGCCTGTTTAATATTTAACTGAATATCTTTATTGGACTGAGATGTCTGTTTTGATAGCCAGAATCATAACAAATCAAGGGCATGACAAATTGAGGCAGGCAATTATCCCAAGCCCCTAGTGACTGAAGGGGCTAATAATTAGTTTCCAACTCCTGGAGGCAGCCAGTCTTCCATGTTTTAGTACAGAATCCTTTGGAATTGGAATGAACATTACAGACAGGTGCTGAGGTGTCTGTGTAATACCTCTGTCTACCTTCTCTCTCCCCCTCTTGCACCAGAGGACACTTTGATGTTCTGGAAAGGAATCGCTGATGTGGGGTTGATGGAGGAGGTCGTCTGTAATATCCAGAAGGAGATAGAAGAGCTGCTCAGGGGCGTGCAGCAGCGGCTCCTCCAGGCTCCCTTCCAGGTCACAGGTAAGTGCACCGAGCCTGGTAATGGCCTTCAGTTTTGAATCCTCACGACTGTCTCACAACTGCCAGGCAAAGGTATCATTATCTTCGTTTTACAGATAAGAAAAGTAAAGCTCATAAAAGTTAAGTCATCATCTTTTGTGGTTCCTGACCGTGTTTTGTTCATTTATGTGGTCCTAGGGATTTAACGTGGCCTCAGCACACTGGGCAAGCACTCTTCTACTGAGGGCAGCCCCAGCCTTATGTTATTTTGTTCATGAACTGAGTTTTAAACTTTAGTTTGAGCCAGGCGGTGGTGTCTCAAAAACAAAAGAAAAGTTGTGCACCACCTTACCCCCCTTCAATTTTTTTTTTTTTTTTTTTTTTTTTTTTTTTTTTTTTTTTTTTGGTTTCTTGTTTTTTTTTTGT